TACCTGCCTTTTGCTGGCAGGAGAGGGGAGAAGGAACATTTGCATGTTAAACCACAAAAGGGAGCTGTGTTTTATGGAAGGCTGGGTATGGGAGAGGAAAGGAAACATCTAAGTTGTCAAGACAGAGCAGAGTTTTGCCTTAGCTAGGGTGGGATCTCCAAAAGCGGCATCATGCAGCTCTTTGGGGTGCCTGGGGAAACCCCACAGTCAGCAGATGCAGGATAATTATCCTTACACATCAGTCAGCTCCATGCGAAGCAGGGCCAGAATTCCCCAAATAATTTTAGGCAAGGTGAGAAGGGTCAAGGTGATGATGAGAAAAGAGTCTGTGACTAAGGAAACACCACACTTGGGTTTGGGGGGGTTCAGCCTTGTGACCTTGGGGACCTGTCCCCCTCGTGCCTCACTTCCTTGGCTGTGGAAGGGAGCAGCTGCCAGGGCTCCTACAAGCTCATGCACCAGCTGCCAGCACATTATGGTGGTGGTGGCCACAGGAGCATGGAAATAGGAAAAGCCAAGGCTGGGCTATGAGAAAGACACTGGTGTGTCCCTACGGACAAAGCAGGGACGGAGCTGAAACACCTATCTGCTCTCCAGGAGAGCTCCTCCTCCAGATCCCATCTCGGATGCTGCAGAAGGACATCAAAGGGAGACTGGGGTGCGAGGCCAAGCAGGAGGAGGTGAGGTCAACCCTGGAGAGATGTGGGAGACAGGGCCTGCGAGTGGTTTGGAAGGAGAAACACTTTTTCATTGCACTTGTGTTCCGCAGGGGCCCTGGCACTTGTCCAGCACTTAAAGACCCCGTTGCAATAGAAATTATAATGGACAGTAAGGGACGATTTGAATGAGGGTGACCACTGAAGCCATAGGGAAATAATAAAGGAGGAGAGGGAGGAGACCAAGGACTAATCTGGGACAAGGGATCCAGACAACCAAGGACAGAGCAGCCAGAGGAGAGCCCAGGAAAAGAAAGGGCAAGGGGCTGACAGAGAAAGGGACATGGCAGAGCACTGTGTGCCATGGGGGTTGGCAGAAGCAGGTGAGTGGGACTGACTGGAGGGGCAGGGAGAGGAGGCAGCTGGGTGCCCTTTGGCAGGAGTCAAACGTGGCTGTCTGTACCTTCATTTGGGTCCAGACAGCAGGCATGAGAAAAGATGGGAAGGACAAAAAAGAAGTGGGGAGAGGGCAGCCCTGGGTGCCCATCCCTGGAGATCTTGAGGAGCAGCAGACTGGGACAGGGCCAGAGGGAGGGCCACAGGCAAGTTGAGGGCAGGGGCTGCTAAAGTGCACCGTGGGAAAGAGCCAAAGTGGCAGTCACGAGTCACGAGTATCTGCTGGGAGCACTGGGAGAGGGCTGGGCATGAAAATTAGGGTGGCAGGACACCTCAGGGAAAGGAGGAGCAGGGAAGAGCTCCTGGAGCCAAGAGGCACTGGCTCCGCAACGTCAAAGCAAGCAGCTCTGTTGCAGAGCTTGATGTGCCGGCCACACCAGTCTGCTGGAGAAACCTCTCCCTGCCTGGCAAACGTTGCGGGAGAACACCCGAGTGCCTGTGGCAGAGCACGACCTCTCCCAGCCATGGCTGGCTAACGGAGGAGGAAGGAAGGGGCAAAAGGCATTTGCCCTGCACAGGGAAGTGGAGAGCGCGTGAGAGGTTCAAAGAGCCTGCCTGGAGCAGCGGGTGGAATTTCTGGCCTGAATCCAGCGCCTCTGGGGCTCTGGCTGCCGAGACCTCCATGCTTCTCACCAGTGGGTGAGGAAGCGCTAGCTGCCTGGTGCTGCTGTGCCCAAGGGTTTTCTGAGGATGCTAAACCTACTGAGTAATTTCAAAGGTGAGTCATCCTGGACAGGCAGCTGACACAAAGAGGTGTGCGGGCTCCCGGGCTGCTGGCTTGCTGCCTTCCCAGAGGTCATCCCTGCTGCTGGGAGCACCAGCCAAGCATGCCACAGAGCCACACATGGTTTGTGACTGTCCACTGTCCCCATTCCCAGAAGGATGCCCTGAAGCTGCTGAGCGCTCAGCAGCAGGATGGCGGTGGATGGTCCAGCTGCAGACTCCCAGGAACGGGATGCAGCAGAGGGCAGGGACATGGCACTGCAGGATTTAATATGAGGAGGAAATCAGAGCTCTCATTCTTGCCTATGTGCCTGCTGGTGACAGCTCCTGTGGGCTTCGTGTCAGCAGCAGCCTCCCTGCCCACTGTCCAGGATTAATGAAAAGCAGGGGGAGCTTATGCAAAGGGGTCCTCACTGGTGTGACAGAGGAGGGAACATTGCTTGAGGGTCCACAATGTGGTTTTGGGAGCCCTGTGAACCAGCATGGCTCAGTGGGAATGAGGGGTTCAGCAACCTTTCCCCATATCCAGCAAGTCACAGAAGGCTTTCAGGACATCCTCGTGGGTAAGCACTGCAGGAGGGAGAGAGAAAAAGTCACTAAGACGTGGTCTGAATCTGTTGCAGAGTGTTTTTGGAAAGCTCCTGGTCGATAAAAACCTTTTAATATTTCTAGGTAGGACTCTGGGACTGGTTTTCACAGGCTGCTGCTGGCATCTAGCGAAGGCAAGCTGCGGAGGACACGCAGTCCCATGGCCTGCCACTCCAGCCGCAGAGCAGCCGGCTGCTGCCATGCCATGCCATGCCAGCTCCTGGATGCCCCTGCTCCCATACGGGAAAGCGAGGAGGTGTAAAGCCTCCTGCAGCTCATGGCTCCAGCTGCCTGCATCTGCTGAGTGCCGGCTGACAGGGCGGTTTGGGGACAGGGACATGTCCCTGCTAGGATGGGATGGAGCCCAACCCCTTGTCTGCTGGGCTCGAACTGCAGAGCTGCTGCTGGCAGACAATGCCATCCGCTGCCTGCTAGTGTTATCCACTGCCTGGTGATGCCACCTGCTGCCTGGTAGTGCCGTGCACTGCCTGGCTGTGCCATCTGCTGCCTTGCAATGCCGTCAGCACTTTGCAGTGCCTTGCGCTGCCTGGCTGTGCCATCCATCGCTGCCTGGCTGTGCCATCGCTGCCTGGCTGTGCCATCCATCGCTGCCTGGCAGCCTGGAGAAGGTGGAGGCAAGCCAGTGACATGGACATGCACAATCCTTACCCACCGCAGAGCTGTCCCAAGAGCAGCCTATGAAAGTCACGGCCCTCAGGATAATGAAAAGAGCAGACCGCTCTCTCAGGCTTGAAAACCACCGGTGGCAGAGACACTAGACGAGCCGCATAAGACCTGCAAAAGGAACTCATTAACCCAAGACTGCTTAATATGCTGGAGGCTCGTGCGCAGCCCTGGAGCTGCAGTAGGATGCTGTGCCAGGTTTCACCCGCTCAGCCCCTCAGTGCAGGTGGAGGCAGAGGGATGCACACCGAATCCACAGCCAGCTACCTCACTCACAGGCCAGGCAGGCTGAAACCAAGTGCTGCAGGGCCAGGGGACCGGGACGTGGTGGGAGGGATGCTTTAGTGCCCACATGCACAGAGTACACGATGGCACCTCAGCTCTCCTGTGCACCCTCGGGCTCAAAATTGCACTGCCCCACTCCAGGGGCCACAGGGGCCTGGCTTGCCTGGTTGGTGACAGCAATGGGTCAGTCTTCCAGGTCTTCTCCACTCCCAGGGGTTTCCAGCCCACAGGCATGACAGTGCTTGTCTTCACAAGCTCAACCCGTAGCAGAGCTGGGGCGCAAACCTCACCTGGGAGTGTTTTAGGGCACCCCAAGCATTCCAATGCAGAGGAATGCTCAGCCCTCATCCACTGCACAGGTGCCCTATATTGTGGGTGTTGCTTGAAACAAGTTAGTTATGTATTTTTATACATCTCCCAATTTTTTTTTTTTTTTTTTTGGTCTTAGGTCCGGGATAAGAAACTCCTCAATGACCTAAATGGAGCAGTTGAAGATGCCAAGACAGCCCGGCTTTTTAACATCACCAGCTCAGCCCTTGCCACCTTCTGTATCATCCTTATCTTCATCTTTCTGCGATACCCCCTCACTGACTACTAGAGTGAGGCCAACAGCAGCGGCCACCGCCAAAATGCCTCTATGCCAGAAGTGTCTGCAGTTTCTTGTAGCAAGGACGCAAAAAAAAAAACAAACAACCCACCACCAAACCCAAACACTCCACCTTGATTGCAAAAAAAGCCAATTAAATACATAAATAAAAAAATAAATGAGTATATCAGCCCAGCTGAGCATACCCTTCCTGCCCCCAAACAGTATGTGAACTGCTGTGGGAAAGGGTCTCACTCTTACACATGTAGAGGGAGAAAAACAGACCAAGAAATATTTATTTTATGGCCAACAAGCCATGTGACAGAGCGTGCAAAGCCCGGAGCGTGACACGCCTGGCAGCAGAAGAGCTCCGGGGTCCTGCTGAGCAGGAGATGCAGTGATGGATGGGGACCATGGCAGGGCCATCTCACAACATATCAGGTGTGTTCAGACCACCCCACCCACCCATGATGTACAGGAGTTTCTTGTCCTTTTCCTCTCCTGAGTTTCATCCACTGGTTTAAAAAACTCCCGGCCCCTGGAGAGATGAGGGTGTGAGAAAGTTCATGCTAGGGAGCCTCAAAGCCCCCAGAGACACCCCAAAACGTTAAAGGGCAGGTTTCTTCTCAGGATCTCCTGGCAATGCTGAGAAGGAAAGCACCTTCTGAAGAACTCACCTAAGCCCCCTAACCGAGTGCTACTGTATTTCTGTAAATGGTCAATAAAAGATACCTCTGATATCTGGTACTGCTGGGTTAATTCCTTCCATAGGAGGGCCGGGCTCCTGGTCCCTACAGGCTGGCAGTAGAAAATGCGAATGTCACCAGCTTGGGAGAGATTTAAAGCAGGAGTGAGGAATGCTGCTGCAGGTCGGGGCCGCACGCAGCCATAAAGGAAGGCGCAGGTCCAGATTGAAGAGCAGAGACCTCAGCAACTCCCGTGACGGCCGATCAATCGCAAGCAAGCAAATGCAGCTGAGCGGGCTGGTCCCCCCTCCCCTGCTAAGACCAACCTTGAAGATAGAAATAAATCACCGCAGTCTCTACCTGCTGCTACCACAGCACTTCCCAGGGTCGTTACTGAGAGACAGATTTCGGAGGTGCCGTGCATTTGCCACGGAACGAGGCAGGAGATTGGAACCCTTCCCGATAACTGCCTGCAGCTGCCTGCGGTGCTGCAAATCAACACGCCCTGACTTGAAAATACCACGAATGAATGGCAAGATCAGGACTAAAATACAGGTTTTCAGCCCCTCCGACCTTTCATCTCATAAGCCACAGCTGCCTCGTCTTTTTCCAGCTATAAGCTGACTTTGTGGCACGGGACACCGGTTGCTACAGACCAGCCGTGGAGCTACGAGGAGACAACACCATGAAAGCAAAGGTGCAGCAGGAGATGAGGAACGCAGACAGGTCATCCTGGGCACTTCATCCTCTGCTGAGTGCGTGGTTCAATGAGCCTGCTGCCTCTGGGCTGTGCTCACTGAGGGCTGTGCCCTAGTGAGCTGTGGGGACAGACCATGGTGCTTCCCTGAAAGCCCCATGAGATGTCACCTCCTTTCTGCCAAGATCTCCACACCTTAACCCCCGCCCAGGCTTCATTTTTGGGAGCAGCTACAGGCAGAAGGACCTGCAGTCCTTGCTGCTCCCTACTCGCTGGAGGGCTTTTCCACACCAGACCAGGTCTGGGGGCTGTTTTGCACTGACGTTTCCACCAGCAGTGCAGTATGGGGCGACCTGGGAATTATCTTGGCTGTGAACTGCTCTGTGATCACTCATGCAGAGGTCAAGGCTCTTCCCAGCCTCTCTTGGCTGCTACTTGTTCCCTTCCCGGGAGCAAGATCTGAGGGGTCATAGCCATCGGCATTTCCATCCTGACACATCTAGGGGCTGTATCCAGTCCTTGTCCCCGGCAGAGGAAGGAGATGGCCTGTCAAGATGGCAATGCCTCCAAAGAGGGTGCAGCCAAACTTGTTCATGTTGCAGCCACCCTGAGCTGGTGCCTGATAATCGGAGCAAATTAAGTTCCACTGGGACAGTGCTAGTTTAGGCAAGACTCAGACTAGTCACCCCCAAAATCCTCTGAGGGTTAGGAGGAGCTCACAGGTGAGGTTGCATCCCCTTTTCCCTCCCCTTGTACCTGCACCAAGCTTGTGATGGCCTGAATTATTGTGAATTATCAAGAGATAACTCTCTCAAAGCCACAGGTTTAGATCACTGTGGGATCAACACTGTCACCTCTTGCAGTGACAAGTGCATTCCTCTCCGAGCTGGGACTCAGAGCCATGTTGCAAGTGCTTTTGCACTCAGAGAGCCCCCCCAGCCTCTACAAAATCTTGTGGGGATGGTGCTGTTGTCCCCATCTCCTGTGTCATGCAAGAGAGAGCCGCCCTGCTTGGCATGCAGGCGCGGGGCTGCTCAGATAAAGGCAGAGCTGACACAAAATTGGAAGTGACCCAAAGTCAGCCTTTCCTACATTTAACAAGTGTGACAAATGAGTTACCATCATCCCTTCCCCTGACGGACTGTCTTATCTGCAGGAAAATGGATGCTGGTTTAATGAACCGGGGGGAATATTGCACTGACTCTGCAGCATTTTTGCATGCATAAACTGTCAGGGATGGAGAGGGTGGGCTATTATTAGTAACCATCATTTTTATTATTTGTTGCCCACATCGTAGGAGGTATGAATGCTGGTATCGCTGTGCTGCAGCAGGTCGGAGGTCCTCCTAGACCTGCCTCAGACAAGACCAGGGTAGCAGTGGAGGATGCAGTAGCCCCGAGGCTGGAGGATGGGATGAGCAACCCCAGGCAGTTGCTCAGCTCCACCACAGCCCTTGCCTTGGCTCCACCTGTGGCTCTGGGCTGGGAGCAAAGCTCCTGCGTTCTCCCCTCCTCTCTCTTAGTGCCCCCACTATTCATTTTAATGGAACCTCTCCAAACTCCTGGCAGTAGGAAAGCACCCCCCAAATGGGGAAGATAGGGGGGACATAGATTTCCAAGCTTGATCAGGAAAAAAAAGGAGAGGCTTTTCCAAGCTCAGCAGCATCAAGGTGCTCAGCATTCATCTTGCCAGTGTTGAGAAACCCCAAACTGAGACAGCAAAACTGCATCCCCATATACTGGCAGGCAGGTACATCCCAGATTGCACCGACCGTGCTGTTTAGCAAAAGAAGTAATTTTTTTTTATCATTTTGAGGGAACAAAGGAAAGAAAAGCAGCAGTCAAATCCGACAGGTCCTCTAATTCTTGCCTTTTTTTTTTTTTATCCCCTTAAATTTTGCAAGAACGTTCTGGAAGTTTGGGTTTTGCCAAGGCAGACACCCTCCACAGCAGAAGGCAGGCTTTCGAGGGTTGCTTCTCTGCCTTTTCACTTCTGCCACTCACGGCGTCGCGCCACGCTCTCCAAATCGCACCTTTTTTT